TCCCTGTCTGCCTCATACGTGGCCAGCAACACTGAACCTGGAACCCCCAGCCCCTCCACTCTGCCTCCAGCCCACAGCTGCCCTGGGGCGGCCAGAGTCCAGAGGAGGAGGAGCCGTACCTCCCTGGAGCAGAGAAACAGTGTCCTCCAGGAGCAGAGGTGAGACCCGGGGGGAGAGCGGCCTGCTGGGACTTGTGGTTCAACATGGTGAAGGGAAAGGGGTACAAAGACTGCAATAATAACTACCTGTGGCATACTGGGGCTTGTGGTTCAACAAGAGGGGGGTGCAAAGTCTACAGTGGTAGCAGTCCATGACATGGTAGGTGCAGGATGTGACGCCGGATATCTAACATGTAGTTTGTCATGGGGGATGGGAGGGTAGCAAGCTGTACAGTGAAGCCAGAATCTGGCACAGGGTCGGTGCTAGCATAAGGCTGAGTGCACGGGGGGTGGAAAAAAACACCTGTGTAGGCAGGAATCCTTCCACCGGCCCTGCCAAGAGGTATGGCATGGCTTGGATAAATGAAAACCTTCACAGCCTTTTAACTGTAGACTTAGCTATTTGACTAGAGTTCTGTTTTAATTTGATACTAATAAATATTTTTTATTTTCAATTACAGCTTAAAGCAATAAAAGATCTTTTATATCAAGCACTCATTGGCATTCATGGTAGCATACTCTGCCCATTTATATACACCCAGAGGATGCAGACAATGAAGGTGTGGGCACCCAGCCTTTTTGCATAATGTGTAGACAATGCTTCTGGAGCTATACACAAGCCCAGTTTTTCTCAGCTCTGTTTTATTAATGGCACCATTCACCAGTATGCAAAAAAATCCCAAGGCACCCCAGGTAAAATGTCATAGATTTTAACCACTTGCTGTCCAGAGCAATTTCTTACTGTTTGCGCACACATGATAAAATATAAAGTTTTGGCTAGAAAACAGCTTAAAACCCCCAAACAATGATTAATTTTCTGAAAGCAGAGGCCCTGTAGAATAACACAATGCTGGTTGCAATTTTTTATGTCGCACGGTATTTGCGCAAATGTTTATCAAACCAGTAATTTTAGGATAAAATAAACTAAATAAAAATTTAGTGCACAGAAACATGATATAATACCCAATTTTTTGGTAAAATATGAAAGACGGGGTCACGTCGGGTAAAAAGGTACCAACTATGTCAAGCCTTAAAATTGCGTTCACCCGTGAAGCTGCATAAAACTTCAATACCCTAAAATTTCCCATAGGGAACACTTTAAACGCTTTTACCGCTCATCAGTTTAGTGCTAACAGTGATAAATGGCTCTAGAATTATTGCTCTCACTCCGACGTTCGCGGTGATATGTAACATGTGCAGCGCAATTGTCGTTTTCGCACGTAGGCACACCGATGCATGTTTTTATGTGTAAAACTTTTTTTTTGCATTTTTAAATTTTTCTTATATTTTACTTTCATTTTTTTTAATTTTTAAACACTTTTTACAATAACCTTGTTGCTATCACAGTAATAGCAGATAGGGTGTGACAGGTCCTCTTTATGGAGACATTGGGGGGTAGACGCTGGATCGCTTGTACATTAACAGCCAACGCTGGCTGTTAAAATACAAGCACTTCTGTGGGCCGCCGTATATAGACATATTGCGGCCCGGAAGTGGTTAAGGGAGACCCCATGCAAGAACACACAAAAAACTGGGGTTCCCTCTTCACATCAAAGTGTGTCCTTCAAATCAAGATCCGCCGC